AGTAGAGAACGAACGACGACACACACACACACACACACACACACACACACACACACACACACACACACACAGAGCAGCGGCAGCAGCACGCACCATCTGGCCGAGGTGCTGCCTGAAGACGTGGGTGTCTGGCTCCGTGTGCAGGGCGAGTGCTTTGGTCAACATCTGTTCCGTCGCGTGCAGCAGTTGCCCGCGCGTTAGGGGCGGGCGCCGGCTGAACAGTTTCGGCAGATAACCAACCGTCACCTGGAAATGGTGTTCGGGGTGTTGCGATGTTGGGAGACAATGGTCAGTATCGAAGCACGTTGATTGAAAACATAAGCCGACATCGGTACAAACAACCACACACACACAATCACACACACACAAACAACCACACACACGCAATCACACAAACGGCCACACACATGCAATCACACACACACACAATCACACACACACACACACACACAAACATGTCACACAATCACACAAACATGCAGACCCTCACCTGCCCCTGGCGGCGTCGGAAGACGAGGTCATGCATGAGGTCAAACACCAGCACCGCCAGTCCGTGCTCGCGACGCGGCAGCGACGACAGCAGCTCCTCGGCATCACACGCGAGCTCGGGCATGGGTTCGTCGTCCCGCCCCTTTCCTACGGCCCTGTGCGCAATGGACATGAGGCGTGGCAGCTCAACAACCGGCGAGCGCGTGTGCACGGGCTCCGGTGGCGATGGCGGGAGCGGTTCGTCGTGCGGCGGCGACTGTGGAGATGTGGGCATGCTCACGTTCACGTTCAGGTTCACGGGCGAGCGCGGTGGGGAGGAGAGCGATGACGATGACGATGACGGGGAGTGGGGCGAGCGTGGCGAATGCGGAGTTCGTGCGTGCGGTTGCAAATGTAGTGGCGCTGGCGTCGTTGTTGTTGTCCGTGCTGTAGTTGTCGTGGTGTCTCGGAGCAAGTTGAGCATGGAGTCGACAGCATCATCCACCGCTTGGTCTAGCATGGACTGCACAACGTCACCGGCCTGTGCCATGGAATCCCCTGCCTTTTCCTTCTCCCGCAACGGCGTCTGAAGTTGTTTTTCTTCTTCCTTCTCCTCCTCAATACCCACTGGTTGCTCTTCCTCCTCCACTTCTTCTTCCTCTTCGTCAAAGTCGTCACTGTACTCCTCTTCCTCCGCCGTAGGCGCTTGCACGGCCTCCTCCTCCTTGTCAGCACTTCGTTCGACGTCTGATGCTTCCTCCGTCTTCACTTCCTCCTCAATCTCTTCCTCTGTCACAATTTCGCTCTCAGATGCCGCCTCCTTCTCAGACACGCGCGCAGCAGCAACGCCAACAGCGGGCGGCATGCGCTCGTCACCAACGTGCGACTTCTCTTCCTCTTCCTCCTCCTCCTCTTTGGCCGCTATCGCTGCCGCCGCCACTGGCACACGTTCATCCTCCTCTTCTTCCGGTTCTTCTTCTTCCTCAAAGTCTTCCGAGTACATGGCCTCGGATGGTTCCTCCTCCTCCTCCTCCTCCTCTTCCACTGCCTCTTCCCCCACTTGTTGTTCTTCTTTCACCGCCGCTGGTGCTGCTGGTGGTAGCGCCTCTTTCTTTTCCTCGCGCTTCAGCGCCAGTGTCTCTTCGCTTGCAGCAGCAATACTGGTTTCGCTTTCCACGACACCCATGCTCTCCTCCTCAACCTCAATGTCAGATGCAACATCTTCTTCCTCCTCCTCGGTTGGCACCACGTCAGAAGCAGCAGCACTTTCCACCTCGTCAGCAGCACGTCGTGAAGGCACGGCTGCTGCCACGGCGCCACCATCGCGCCCGCTCGTTGCACCGGAGGCCCTGATGGCTTCCTCCTCTTCCTCTTCGTCTTCAAAGTCGTCTGAATACGCGATGGACTCGGACACCCCCGCTTCTTCGCGTATCGACACCACATCCGAAGTGACAGCGTGTTCGCTTGTCCTTGCTGGGCTGACGGAGCTTGCTGCTGGTGCTGGTGCTGGTGCTGTTGATGTAGACACACGGTCACGCGGGCGGCGCGGGGGCGTCAGTTGCGTGGCCTCGTCCGTCTCCTCGTATCGCCCCTCTTCATCCTCATCTTCAAAGTCCCCCGTGTATGCGATGGATGACGCCTCGTCCTCCTCGTCCACGGCTCGCTTGTCGTGCAGCGTGCCTGCCTCCTTCTCCACGCGACCGAGCTTCGACTGCAATCGCGCGATGCGCCGAGTCAGGTCCATCTTTCTCCGCTCACGCTTCTCCAGCACCAGCTTGCGGCGCTGGTCGGCGTACGCGTGCTCCAGCTCAGCCAGCGTGTTGCGTAGCTCTCGCTCCTGCGAATCGCTCTCTGTCAGGCCGTTGCTGATGGACGCCTCGCCCTCGTCCTCCCCCACCAGCGACTGCACGCCAGCGGCAGCGGAAGTTGACGGCAGCGGGCGATTCCTGTGTTTGAACTCCGCGGCGCGACGATCGACACTGAATTCAGCCTCATCGCTCGGGAGTGCCTCTCGTTCTGTTTCTCGTTGCTGCTGTCGTCGTGGACTGGCAGCGCTCACGATGAGCGACGTGCGAGATGCATCAACATCACTCGCCACTTCATCTTCAGCAGCAGATGCGCCACCGGCCGTCTCAACGTGGTCGGACACTTCGCTCTCGACGGCGCCTTCGACTTCATCGTACACGTCGCTCGTGTAAGACTCCCCCTCCTGCTGCCGTTGCTCTGTGTCCGCAACGTCTTCTGCAATCTCGGATGCAACATCAGACTCAACCTGGACATCAGTGTCGATTCCTCCTTCTGATGAAACTGCCTCTGCTGTCGTTCCAGTCCTCTCCGCGTCAGTGGCCAGTGGCACCGACTCTTCCACTTCCTCGTCCTCTTCAAAGTCATCCGTGTAGCCACCAATGTCCTCCTCTTCCTCCACCTCTCCTTCACGCGACACGTGTTCGCCCACGCTTGGTTCAGTCGCAACACCGCTGAGCTCCTCCCCCACTCCTCCGCCGCTGTCGGACACTTCGTCCTCAAACCGCCGCTGCCGCGTGTGTCGCGCTGGCTGCCCATCTTCTGCTGTCTCCACGGCCCTGGTGCCCACCACGTGGCCTCGCTCGTGCTCGTACGTGTCTGCCACCAATCGTGCCATGGACCGTTGCACGGCATGCTCCAGGTGCTCACCGCTGCGACGACGGTGATAGTGCGCAGCGCCAGCGCCCCCAGCACCCGTGGCACCGACAGCAACGCGCCGTGAGCCCTGCAGTGCGTGGCGAGCTGACGCGGCCAGTCGCTCCTCCTCCCGCTTGAGGTCCTTCAGCCGGGCCATGATGGCTGCTTGCTTCTCCATCAGTTCAGACACGGTTCGTCGCTGCCGCTTCAGTCTCTCCTCCCTCATCCTCGCCTCCCTGAAAGCGGGGTGCAGCTCTGGGTCCTCAAGCACACGCATGGCGCGCTCAAACACAGACGATTCCGAGGAGGGCTCATCACCACCCGCATCCAAAAGCTGCTGCGTTGCACGTGCACGCGCGCGTTGGTGCGTTGCTTCGTCATCTTCCACATCACCACCACCACGAACATGACGTGCGACTGCTGTTGGTGTTGATGCTGCTGCTGCTGTTCGGTCGTGGACACGGCGGCCAGGGTGGAGTGGCGCCTCCTTCCTTGTGGACACAACGCGTGTTGTGACCTGTGCACGCTGTGTTGTTGTTGTCGTCGTCGTCGTGGTTGAAGTGACGGCATCAAAGTCGTCACTGTAACCATCGGCCTCATCTTCCTCCGTCTGGACCTGGTCTGTTTCCGCATAGCTCGTCGCAATGGCGTCATCCTCCTCATCAGCAAACGACTCAGTCATCACGTCACGATCTGATGTCACAACAGCCGCCGCTGCATCTGTAGCGCTCACATCTGTCGGCACGCCACCATCATCAGAATCATCACTGCCACGACGGCGACCACTCATTGTGTCCTCCGTTACGACCTCCTCTGTCACAACGCCGTCTGATGGTGGTGAGTGCGACGTGCGTATGTCCTCTGCCGTCGTGGGAGCGGACGGACTGGCGGAGCGGTGACGACGATAGCGATGATCGCTCTGGCGATGACGGCTGGCGGAGGATAATCCTGCAGCAGCAGCAGATGATGATGGTGCTGGCGAGCGTGATAGTGGTGACAATGCAGGGTCGTGCACACCCTCCTCTTCCTCCACGCTTGACATAGTGCCGCTTCTCGCTGCTGATTGGTGCCTGTGTGGTCGCTGCTGCCGGCGTTCATCGATGGGCGATGGGGACGTCTGTGTTTCCGTGGTGACGAGCGTTCGCACACGCGCGTACATCATCGCATCACCGCCACCCGCCCGTGGCAGAGGCGGCAATGGCTGCTGCTGCTGCTGCGGTGCATCTTGGTAGTCACGACGAAAACCGCGTGCAGACATGAGCTGCTCGTACTGCTGCTCCAACAGTCGGTCCTGCTCCCGTATCAGCTGCAGCCGCCGCCGCATGCTCTCCACCAGGGAATCGCGCGCCCCAATGTGCGCATCAAGACCATCAAGCACCGACACAGCCGGCTCTCGTTGTTGTTGTTGTTGTTGTTGTTGTTGTTGCTCGGATGTCTGTACCTCGCTGGTTTCCGCTTCAAAGTCATCGGAGTAATCGTCGCCATATCTGCCCCCTTCCTCATCTTCTTCGTCACTCACAGCAGACGCTGTGCTTGGGTGGGAGGATGCTCGCTGGCGTGCTGACGGCTCAGTTGCAATTTCACTGCTCACGTGCGATGCGCTCGCAATGTCCTCTGCAACGGCGCCGCTTGCGGATGTGTGCGAGTGCGATGGAAATTGGCCACTGGCCACTTCCGCTGCCGACGGCATGTCGCTGTCAACGCCAATTGCATCCGACACCACGTCAGACCCAGCAGCGCCGTCACCGCCATCATCAACAATGCTCTCCACCACGTTCTCAGACACGCTGCCACGCGACATGCTCGTGGGAATCACGCCATCATCGTCACCACCGGTGTCCACGTCGTCGTCATCATCACGATCACGATCACGATCACGATCAGCACCAGCGCGTCGATGCGATACAGGAGAGCGGGAGCGCGACACGGATTCGCGTGTGCGGGTCACGCTTGGACTCCCCTCTTCATCATCAAAGTCACGCGTGTACTCATCATCATGGTCATCATCAAAGTCATCATCGTAGCTGCTGTATTCGCTCTCGCTCCGCCGTCCACGTCCCCGCTGCTGTCGCGAAGACCTCCGACGTTCCGATTGCCATCGACCCGTGTCGGCATCACGTCGCAGCTGCTCGTGCTGTCGTCCCAGCGCCTCCAACTGCTGCTGCATTCGCTGCAGTTCCGCCTGGTGCGAGACTTGCACGTGTGCCTGGAAGCTCGTGGCCATGGTGCGAATGGCGTCTGTTGCTTCACGCTGGCCGGCTGCTGCCTGTGTCGCGGCGTCGCTCGCTCGCTCCACCACCTGCGACACGACAGATGCAACCGACTGGCCCGTCTCCGCCGCCAAGCGAGCAAGGTCGTCCTTGTGCTGCGCAATCAGCTGCGCCATGGCTTCGTTGTGCACGGCCTGCTGCTCCACAACGGCTGCGCGCTGCTGCAGTCTTGCGTCATCGCGCGCCCGCTGCTGTTGTGTTGCGTAATGCTGCTCCTGCCGCTGCTGTTCTGCGCGCTCCGCCTCCAGCTCGTGCTGCAGCGCAGCGTATGCCTGCAGGGAAGGGTGTGGTGAGAGGAGGGAGTGAGTGTGTTGTGTGGGACGTGGTGGGGGATGAGTGTGTGTGCGTGTGTTTGCGTGGCGTGCAAGGCGCTTGTGTTCGTGCTTGTGCTTGTGTGAATGCGGGTGCAAAAACCAACACAAGCACTGTGTCAAAGCTGAGCAGAAGAGGTAATTCGTTATTCGCACCTGTGCAAGTCTTGCTGTCTCCTGCTTTGCCTCTGTTCCGGCCTTTGCCTCTTCAGCCTGTGTGGCGTGGCGCAGCTGGAAGGCAGGAAGGGAAAGAGTGAGTGAGCGAGTGAGTGAGTTGGTGAATGTGGTTGGCGAGGGTGTACTTGATTGTGAATGTGGTGCTCACCGTGTCGTTGAGGAGGTCGTGTAGCGACAGTTGCTGTCTCAGTTTCATCTCCAGTTCAGCAGGCGTCAGCCGCGGTTGTTGTTGTTGTTGTTGTTGTTGTTGTTGTTGTTGTTGTTGTTGTTGTTGTTGTTGTTGTTGTTGTTGTGGTGGTGGTGGTGGTGGATGTGCTGCATCATCGTGTACATCGCTCACATACAGCGAATCATCCATCTGTGCTTCGTTTTCTTCACCGTCTTCCCCCTTTTCAGCCTCCGCTTCACCAGCAGTGTCACGTGAGTGCTGCTGCTCAGTCACCACCTGCGTCGAAGCTGAACCGTGACGGTCGTCAACATCGTGTCGTTCGCTCACGTCACCACCTTCGCCACCATCCTCATCAGCAGCAGCACTCATTTCGGTATCAACAGTGCCTTCCGAAGCTGTTGCCGCCACGACTGCTAGCTCCTCTTCCTGAAGATGTTGTTGTTGTTGCTGCTGCTGTTGCTCGTCTCTACGCACGCCCGTGTCGTCCTTCTGTGGACGATCGCTCCTCGTGGTTTGCGGTGCAACTGCTGCCGCTGCCTGGTCCTCTGCTGGGACGTTGTAAGGGGCAGTCACATCCAGCACGGCACGCGATGCTGATGACGGCGGTGTTGGTGGCGTCACGACGGTTGTCTTTCTCGTGCTTCGCTGTCCCTCAACCTCCTGCTGCCGCTGTTGGTGTTGGTGTTTGCGGAAGAAAATGTCCAGGATTGGTTCATCCAAACCGCGTAGGCCGTCACCATCGCCACCATCGTAGTTGTCATCGTCGTTGTTGTTATCACGGTCAGTGCCAGTGCTGTGTTCCGCGATGGCGCCGTGCACCCCTGATGCGCTCGCCAGCAACCGGTCAACACCACCACGACCGATTGCATGCAATGCTGACGACGACGACGATGAAGACGATGTGTCTGGTGAGTCATACCGCCACGGGTACTGCGGATCTCTGCTCTGCTGTTGTGGAGCATCGACGCGCCAGGCGTGGCTCTGCTGCTGCTGCTGCTGTTGCCGCCGGGCAACATGGCGGGACGCAAGTTGCTGCACGGAGGGGGTGGGTGGGGTTGGATGACGCGTAAGGTGAGGTGTGTATGTGTGTGTGTGTTTGTGTGTGTGTGTGTGTGTGTGTGTTTGTGAGGGGTTGGGGGTTAGGAAACAGAAGAAGATGGGGTTGCGGCCACATGTAATACGAGACGCCAGCAGCACAGAAGAACAGCTCACCTCCATGCGTTGACGTGCGACAAGAGCGCGCACGCTTTCGACGCCAGGCAGCGGTTGAGCGGAAGCAAACCCGAGGCCAGGGCCAGCTGTCCCGTTATTGTCGTCATCATCATCAGCATCACTGAAGCCGTGGTCGCTGTCGCTAGGCGTACCGTTGCTGTTGCTCGCCTGAACCACTTCAACACGTGGTGCTGATGGAGTGGCATTACCACCATCGTCATCATCACCACCACCACCATCATGATCGTCATCATCTTCATTAGCGCGCACGTGTCGCTGCTGCCTCCTGTCCTGTGCGAGACATGACAGCAGCTGTTCGGCGGTGGCGATGGATGCGGCCCACATGTTGTGATTCTCCACGTCCTCCACGCGCTGGAGCAGCGACAGCATCGACTCAAGCACAGCCTGTACAGACGGAAGACAGGGAGAGACGTGTTTGGGTGAGCGCAGACTGTGTGCGTGTTCGTGGGTGTGTGTCTGTGTATATGTGTGCGTGTATGTCTGTGTATGTGTGTCTGTGCACGTGTCTGTGTATATGTGTGCACGTGTCTGTGTATGCGTGTCTGTGTACGTGTATATGTATGTACGTGTCTGTGTATGTGTGCACGTGTATGTGTATGTGTGTGTACGTGTATGTGCATATGTGACGTGTATGTGTATGTGTGTGTGTGTGTGTCATGACGATGGACGTACCCCACGGGGCTGCTCGCTGTCTTCCCTCCGTTGTGGTTGTGCATGGCCGTCACCGTCGTCAGCATCGTTCGAAGCAGCAGTTGCTGGTCCAGGCTGCAGGTCACCGGCACGGGGTTGGTGTTCGCTCATCGGCACCTCATCACCATCAGACGCTTCCTCCATCATTTCATCCACGCGCGCCAACAGCCGCTGTTGTTGTCGGTCCTCGTGTCTGCGCTGCCCCTGAATGCGTCGGTGTGCCCGCACACCAGGTGCTGATGGACCATCCCTCCTCGCCATAGCTGTTGACGCCACACCACGTCGCTCGTCCTGTTGCTCGTTCTGTTGCTGGTGCTTCTCTCCCTCCTCCTCGTCCTGTTGCTGCTGGCGCTGCATTCGCTGCTGCTGTTTCTTCATCCTCAAGTGCTCACGGCTGCTGCTGCGCTGAGCACGTGGTCTCTGTTGCCGCCACGGTCGCTCTTCACCAAGCTTCTTCGATGGCTGGAAGGGGTGGGGGCAAGTTGGGTGCAAAGTGAGCAAGCGAGTGAGCGCGTGTGTATCAGTTCAAGCGGTCAAGCGCTCAAGTGCAACGCAATACACACGCGCGCACACACACACACAGAACACACACACACACACACACATCCCCTCATTTTGCATGATGCGTGCATGCAGTTGCACCTGTGTTCTGCGGTGTTTGCCTGCCTGCGCCGACGGACCAGCATGCACGAGTTTCTGTCGTGCGGCGTCGAGCTGTGCAAGACGCTCCTGCGCACGCAAACGCGTTGTGTGGTGAGTGGGTGCAATGCGAGATATTAGCCATCAGCACAGCCTATGTGTGAGTGAGTGTGTGTGTGTGTGTGTGTGTTTGTGAGTGTGTGTTGCGATACCTGGACGGTGCGTTGCTTTTCTTCCTCTTTACGTTGCGCCTCAGCTCGCTCGGCCTGCAGGAAAGTAGCAAAGCACGCATAAATACAGTCATGAGATTGCAACTGCCATGGCACTCAGATGATACGCAGAGACACGCACGCACGCGCACACACACACACATACACATGCGCATTTACAAGTACAGACCAGCAACGCAAGGCTTACAGCTCGCTGTTTTCGCTGTTCGCGCATGATGTGTTGGATTTGGTCGCGTGTGTACTTCGAGGCTGGGCGCACGTGCGGTTGGTAATTAGCCGCCGCCAAGGCCTTGCGCTCCGTGGCTGTGCTGTCCGCGTTGGTTGCCGTCGGGCGCCGAACGATGTAGTCACGGTGGTTGAACGTGCTTGACATGTGCAGCAGCTGGTCCTCATTGCAGTTTCTCGTGCGTAGCGCGACCTGGGGTGCAGGCACGTGGGTTTGCTTGCGCGTCTGTTCCCGCTTGGCAGCCTTGCGTGTATCCTCCTCCATGTTGAGTGGGCTGGCCGTCCTGCGACGCGACCGCTGGCGTGGGTCACTCGGCTTTGGCGAGTGTTGTATCACCGCCACCTTCCGTGCTTTGCTGGCTCGTCGCCCGGCACGGGATCGCACGGAGCTGGAGCCTGGCAGCACTCGCGATGGCCGGTGCTGCTGTTGTTGCTGTTGATGTAGTCGTTGTGCTAATGAGGGAGGCACTGTGGTGCTGGCTGTGGCTGTGACTGCGGGTGGGTGGTCGTCGGTGGTGGCCGCAGCTTCTCGGCGCACGTTGGCCATGACGCGTGGCGGAATGTGCGCAGCCGTCGAGGCAGCCATTGAGGAGGACGCAGTGGGATATGTAGCTGCAGCAGCTCGCGTCGACCCTCCCTCACGCACGAACACGCGTGGGGCTGGGATGCGGCTCTGCAGTCCCTCCACGCCACTGCGCACATCCCGGTGTCGTGGTTTGGTCATCACTCTAGTGTTGTGCTGCTGTTGTTGTTGTTGTTGTTGTTGTTGTATCTGTGGTTGCGGTGGTGGCTGCACTGGTGGGGGAGAAGTGCTGGTGTTGGTGCGCACCATGGGCACCATGAGCCCCGTGTGGATCACATCGGCCATGGTGTGTTGTCTTGTTCGGTGGTCGTGTCGTGTTGCGGTGCAGTCGTTTGAATGGTGTGCAGCGGTCGTCGTTGCCGTTTTTTTTTTTCCAAAGTCAATTTTGCCTTTGTGCGTGTGTGGTTCGAATTTTTGTTTTCAAAAAGGCAATTTTGCCTTGACCGTTTTTCACACACAGACTCGTGCAACCAGTGGATATGAAGCGCACTGCCGCCTCCCGCGACAACGCCGGCGATGACGCCAAGCGTGCCAAAGGTGCGTATGCATGTGGAGGAATGGGAGGAGGGAGGCAGAGAGTGCGCGCGCGTGTGTATGTGTGTTTTTGTGTGTGTGTGTGTGTGTGTGTGTGTGTGTGCGTGTGTGTGTGTGTGTGTGTGTGTGTGTGTGTGTGTGTTTGTGTGTGTGTGTGTGTGTGTGTTTGTGTGTGTGTGTGTGTGTGTTTGTGTGTTTGTGTGTGTGCGTCCGTTGCAGTGTGAGAAGAGCTTCAGTGTGAGAAGAGCTTCAGTGCGAGAAGAGCTTCAGTGCGAGAAGAGCTTCAGTGAGGTGATTCACTGTGCATGCTGTTGCTCTGTTGCTCTGCTGCTCAGTGCTGGACGCACCCAAGGAGCTGGGTGACCCGTATGTGATTGGCACCAACAGTGTGGGCCAGCTTGGGCGCGGCCTCGGCTGTGATCACCGCCGCAAGCCCACCCCGCTCGCCGGCTCCCTCGAGGGCAAGAAGGTGTGCGCACAAGAGTGAGGTGCGGAGGCAGCGAAGAGAGTGTGTAGATGTGTTGGAGTGAGAGAGAGTGTGTGTGAGTGTGTGTGTGGTGTGTATGTGAGTGAGTGTGTGGGTGTGAGTGTGTGTGTGGTGTGTATGTGAGTGAGTGTGTGGGTGTGAGTGTGTGAGTGAGTGTGTGTGTGTGTGTGTGTGAGGGTGTGTGTAGTAAAGATGCTTTGCCCATGGTATTTGAATCACGCTCTCCTCCTTGTTCACTCTGTTGATTTATGCTCAATCGTCTTCACTGTTCCATCTTCTTCCATTCCCTCTCTCGCCTTCGTGTCAGGCCCTTGATGTGTGCTGCGGTGGCATGCACACGGTTGTCCTCGGCGAAGATGGCAAGGTTGGTCAGTGGGTGCTTGTGGTGTTGTCGCTTGTGTTGGTGCTTAATTCGTCAGTGGCAGTGCATCATACTTGTTGTTGCAACATTTCAAGCTGACAACTGCTTGTATCTGTTCACTCGCAGGTTCACACCTTTGGGTGCAACGACGAAGCTGCACTTGGTCGCGCAGGTGTGTGTGTGTGTCTGTGTGCGTGTGTGTGTGTCTGCGCGTCTGCATATGTGTGTGTGTCTGCGTGCATGTGTATATGTGTGTGTGCGTGTGTGTGTGTGTGTGTCTGCGTGCATGCGTGTGCGTGTCTGCATACTTGTGTGTGTGCGTGTCTGCATACTTGTGTGTGTGCGTGTCTGCATACTTGTGTGTGTGCGTGCACATTCTCTGCCACCATTGCATCTCGATTCACACCACTGTCCAATGCTGCTGCTTGTGTGTCTGCAGCCAAGGGCGAGGATGAGATGACACCTGGTGTTGCCGGCGGCCTGGAGGGCCTCACCATTGTCAAGGTTCGAGCACCATATCCCGTGCGTGTTGCTTCGCTTCAATGTAACCACCACCGTCTCTCTCTCTCTCTCTCTCTCTCTCTCTCTCTCTCTCTCTCTCTCTCTCTCTCTCTCTCTCTCTCCCTCCCTTGCACGCTCATACCACAGCTGATGCACGATCTTCATCACACCATCCACTCTCGTGCGTGCGCAGGTCACGGCTGGCGACAGTCACACAGCCGTGCTCACGACGGAGGGCGACGTGTACATGTGCGGCCTCTTCCGCGTAAGCTCCTTTCAAGTTGGGGAATGGGAGCGATAGAGGGGGGGGGGAGGCAAAGCGCGTCTTGCAGCACACGGGCGGTAAAACGTGCAACTCGACGTGATTCGTGACACAGATGCTCACGCAGATGCTGACACACACACACACACACATGAAAACGCATACACACACATACACATGAACACACACACATGAAAACGCATACACACACATACACACACATGAAAACGCATACACACACACATACAGGATGATGATGGTGCAATTGCCTTTAGCGACTCGATTGAGCGCCAGGTGACGTTTGCAAAAGTGTTTCCGCCGGCCAACGGTCGCCGCTACCGCCAGCCGCCAACAGCAGCAGACATTGCATCCGGCAGCAACCATCTCATGATCCTCACAGACGCCGGCAAGGTCAGATCCATGCGTGCATGTGTTTGTGTGTACGTTTGCGTGTGTGGACGTGCACAAACACACATTTGGCGGGCTGTTGTTCACGTGCATGTGCATGCGATCAATCTCCTCCTCTCACCTCCACTCAACACTTTCCACCACCTCTCACCATACCTGTCGCCCCATGACTGTGTGTGCACAGGTGTTTACGCTGGGCAACGGACGGCAGGGCCAGCTCGGCCGCCTCACGGAGCCGCAGACGCAGCGGGACTCGTGCCGGGTCACGCGCGATACGCCGGAATGGGTCGTCAAGCGCCGCACTTCATCCTCCTTCCTCAAGTCAGCGCCTGCTCGTGGTGTGGGGACGTGTTGTTGTGCTGTCGTGTGCTGTTGTGGGGCACATTTGCGTCATGTGTGTCTGCATCAAGAGCTCATATATGCATGGCTACCGGGTTTGTGTTCTCGTCCGCTTCATCTGCAGGCGAATCCTCACACCGCAGCCCGTGCCGCGCATCAAGCAGGTTCGAGACTGCGTTGATGGGGTTTGCTCATGGCTCGTGTGTGTACGTGTGTTTGCGTGTGCATGTGTGCGTCTGTGCGCACGTGTTCGTACGCTCACATGCATGTGTGTATCCTCATGCATGTGTGTATCCTCATGCATGTGTGTATCCTCATGCATGTGTGTGTTTTCAGGTGACGAAGATTTTCGCCACCACGTGGGGATCATACGCCATCGACGCACAGGTGAGCATCCGCTTGCAAACGTGCAATGCACACGTGCGTCAAGATGCGTTTCACAAACACCCTTGTTTGCACCTTGCATCTGACGTGTGTGTGTGTGTGTGTGTGTGTGTGTGTGTGCAATGATGTGCAGAACAACGTGTGGGCGTGGGGCCTCAACAACTACTTTCAGCTCGGCATCAAGCGCGAGTACGTTCTGCTTGTACGCGTGTGTGTGTGTGTGTCTGTGATCAACTTGTACGTTTGTGTTGCCCCTTCCCCCTACACACGCCCCTGCTGACCCTGCCTGGATGATGTACTCTCACCCACGCCCCTGCAGCGAGGAGCAGTCTGCGGACGTGGAGGCGAACTGCGTCTTCCATCCGCAAAAGGCAGACAACATCCCGCAGGTAGCGAGACGAGCGAGACGCATTTGTGAATGGGCAGCCATTGAGCAGCGGGCAACGCAGAGCATGTCTGTGCTCGACTTGTCTCTTGTTCTCTGACAAAGGGAGTGCGGTACTTGACATCACATTGTGCTCGTGGGTGTGTGTGTGTGTGTGCGTGTGCTCGTGTATATATATATATATATATATATGTGTGTGTGTGTGTGTGTGTGTGTGTGTGTGTGTGTGTGTAGGGCACGATTGTTGAGGTTGCTGGCGGGCAGCACCACACCCTCTTCCTCATGGGCGACGGCAAGGTGCGGTCGCGCGTTGTCTGCATGCAAATCGTGTATGCTTCCGTGTGTGCGTGTGCGTGTGCGTGCGTGCGTGCATGTGCTTGCGTGTGTGTTTGACATGTTGTGTGCGTGTGCTCTGGGCTGACATGTCGTGCTGTGTTGTTCTGATGCTTCTGTCCACTTTCACCTTCAGGTTTACGCGCTTGGTCGCGGGGAGAGCGGTTGTCTTGGACAGGGCAACGAGCAGACCCAGAGCAGGTGATGGCGATTTCATATGGGTGTGTGTGTGTGTGCGACTGATGTGTGCATATTTGTGCAAGTTCAACTTTGGTGCTTCTTCCCTCTCGCTCTGCCCGTTTTCACGCGTGTGTTTGCTCTGCAAACTGTTCATGTGCCGACAGCCCCGTCGAGGTGAAGGCCCTCGCTGACAAGAAGGTGAGAGGCCGCGACTGCAATGCGTGCGATGGATTCACGTGTCTGCTGAGTTGCTTTGCTGCGTTAGATCCCTTCAACCTCATGTACACGCTCACGTGCTCACATTATCGTCACCACCGCCAATTCCACAATCACATCATCGCCGCCCCCCCCCCCAACGTGTTTAGATCACGTCCATTGGCGCGGGATCTGTGACGTCCTACGCAATGGCGGCTGACAAGGCGTTTGCGTGGGGTTTCGGCGAGAACAACCAGCTCACCGCAGCATCAGATGAGGTGTGCGAGAGTTTCTGTGCGTGTTTGTGCGTGTGTGTGCGTGTGCGTGTGTGTGTGTGTGTGTGCGGTTGTGTGTGTGTGTGCGGTTGTGTGTGTGTGCACGTGTACGTGTACGTGTACGTGTACGTACGTGTGGTTGTGTATGTGTATGTGTGTTTGTGTAAGGACATCTTTCTGAGCGGCTATTCGTTGACGCGCGTGTTGTGGACGCGTCACAATGTGCATTTGCCAGGACGTGTTGGTCCCCATGGAGGTGACGGGCAGCAGAATCGAAGGAAAGCGTCTTGCAAAGGTGAGCACGTGTGCGAGTGTGTGCATGAGTATTCTGAGCGTGTACATGTGTGTGTGCGTGTGTGCGTGTGTGCATGCCTGTACTTGTGTGTGCCCAAATGCATGCCTCGATTAGGCACCACCATCTCACGTCGCGTGTCGTGTTCCATGACGCGTCGTCAGATTGACGGCGGAGACCAGCACGCCGTTATGCTTGCCGTTTGATCGCGAACACACGCGCGCACAACGCGACGCCAAGCAACCATGATGGTCACACGCTTCCACATCCAATCGTCAGATTGTGAGATGAATTGTGATTGTGATTGCTTGTTTCTTTCGTGGTGCAGACATTCACCACATTTGAGTTTTGTTCGTGTGATTTTCTTAAGTTGCCGCTGCTTGAGTGGGAAGTAACACACGCAGAGAAAATAAAGGAGTAACTCAGCAGCAACGCAAGCAATGAATGTGCAGTGGGAAAAGATCGCATGGAAGGTGGCGTGGAACGAATGTGTGTGTGGGCGTGTGTGTTTTGAGTTGTGTGTGTGTGTGTGTTTTGAGTTGTGCGCGTGTGAAAGTGTCGACACCAAATGACACTCATCCATCGATGCTGAACTGCAGCACTTGCTCAAAGGTGTTTCCGTTTGTGAAGATGAGCGAGTGGCTCCCCGAATAGAGTTTCTGTCCACCACTGGTTGTCGTCACCTCAAACGCGTCCGTGCTCAACCTGCAATGTGAAGTGAATGAGATGATGAATGAGCTGGTGAGATGCAAAGGTGGAGGATGAAGAGGAGTGACTGTCTTGGCATAGAAGTGCACACACACGCACGCACACACATACACACACACATACACACACACATACACATGGACAACACGGACAGCGCATGCAGGATGGCGCACGTGAATTCGATGGTCTGTGTCTGCGACGGCGCAAGCGAGACGCGTTCAAATCCGACGAGGGCGCGGTTTGGAATCGGGTGAGGGGCTGCCGCGCGGATCGCCGCAGACACGCTGGTGATGATGATGGTGGGGTGGTGGGGTGATTAGTTGAGCAATGTAGGGGTACATGTTCGAACATGTGTTCAAGGGAATACAACAGCGTTGTTATGTGACCAAGACATCTTCACACACACACACACACACACACACACACACACACACACACACGCACGCACACCCCCCTGGACTAACTTGTGATAGACCATGATCACTTCATCTCCGGCTTGGTGCTGATCTTTGTTCGTCACTGTGCACTTCACTTGCACGGGAACCTGCGATGCGGCAAACATGTGTGTGTGTGTGTGTGTGTGTGTGTGTGTGTGTGTGTGTGTGTGTGTGTGTGTGTGTGTGTGTGTGCTGTGGGAGGTAAGGAAGTCAATGGAAAGAATGAAGGAGCGAGATGATTGTGTTTGAAGTGTGCATCACATGTGCAACACGAGTAACAACCCCAAAACGCGTGTGAATGCGTTGTCGTACCGAGCGTGTTGTGTTGGCAGAACACGACGCATCAAAAGACGTGTAGCTCAGCCCAAACCCAAACGGATATAAGGGCTGGCCCATGTAGTAGCGGTACGTGCGGCCTTTGCACTGAAACGTGAAACAGTGAAGGGAAAGGCGATGGGGTGAGCTGATGGTGGTGCGCGCGCGCGTGTGTGCATGGCTGTGTTTGTGTTTGGACGACGGAAGATAAGCACCCAAAGGACGATTCAACACACAAGCGTGTGGAAAACACACGCACACCCCAGTGCATACATTGGCGTGAGGAGACATCTGCATATCCGTGAGCTCGCATTCCTGTTGGAATGACGACGAATAAATGGTGTATGGCAGCTTGCCAAATCTGACGCGTTGATGGTGATGACAAAATGGTGAGAGGGAAGGGAAGATGAGCCGGCGCCCATGTCACATGGGACTCGCAACCAGCAAGATCAGCAAGCAGAAGACCAGCGTCCCCAGCCACGAAGAACCACAGCTGCAGCAGCCACGTGACACCTGTTGTGTTCGCCAAAGAGCGTCCTGGCGAGCGCTTCAGCACCACGCAGCGCGGGATAAAACGCCTCCACAATCGCAGCCGGCCCTGACGATGATCGTGTGAATGAGGGGGGGGGGGATGATGTGGTGTGGGTGTGGGAGGCATTGTGACTGAGAATGCAAATCGACACACGTGCATAAATAATGACTTACAAACACACACACACATATACACGTACAGATATTCACATACACATGCACATACACATACACATGCACATACGCATACACATGCACATGCACATTTACACACACTTGCACATACACGTAAACACACACATACGCGTACACACATGCACATAACACATGCACATACACATACACAAACGCCCACGCAACCACATGAGCGAGTGGGCCACCTTTGGTGAGACCGTCGATGGAGAGAGCGCCGCCATTGATGAGGACGAGAATGACGCGTTTGTTTCCGGCAGTCTTGAGCACCTGCTGTGCAAACGACGTTTGCAGACCAGGCAGATCCGTGCTGGTGCGGTCGATGCCTTCGTGTTCGACGCTGCGATCAATCCCCAGACACAGCACCACGACGTCAGACGTCTTCACAAGGCAAGACAAGGATGTGTGGTGTGCACGATGCAGGGTGAGGTAGAGAAAACCATTCATGATGGTAAGTCAGCGGCTGGTGTCACTTGCTTCATGCCCTGTCATCACGCATCCAACGCTGCACTCACTGAGACGGCGTCCAGTGCTGCTTGGATGCCGCTTGTGTTCTGACTGTTGATGTCCACGCCTTGCTGCACGCGCGTGTGTCCGTTTGTGTTGACTTTTGTGATCCATTCCCCAATGGTGGGAATGCAGTCATCAGACCCAGAGAAGCACTGCTGGTCGCCTGCGTGTGTGCGTAGATGTGTATGTGTGTGTGTACGTAGATGTGTGTTTGTGTGTGCGTAGATGTGTGTGTGCGTGTGTGTTGATGTGCGCGTGTGTGTGCGTAGATGTGTGTGTGTGTGTGTGCGTAGATGTGTGTGTGTGTGTGCGTAGATGTGTGTGCGTCGCGTGTGGAAGCTCAGAATAAGTGGCGTGCACACTGGTGCCATAGAGACCAAACAAAACCAGCATCCCGCTCTGCTCACCCGCGTAATCTGAAAGAAGGCTGCCGCGCGTGATGCTGTGAGGACCAACCACTGCAACCTGATGACGACAACGGCAACGTGAATGGGGTTTGGATCGTGAGTGAGGAGACAGAGAGATGGTGCAAAAACAGGCCTGATTACATCGGTGCATGCCACCGCATTGCGTGTGCCAACACCTTCGTGGCAGTTGAGAGCGGAAGCGCGCGGTCGTCGTTCTTGAGCAGTACCAGCCCTTGTATTGCAGCCTCAAAGTTGATCTGCGTGTTGAAGAAGGGCCAGAGGTTGATGGATAGTGTGAGTCAAGTTGGGTGGGGCGGGGGGAGGGGAGGGGCGCAGAAGCGGGCAGAGGAGTGGGCATGGGCCGCGCTGCTCAAGACAGACAGTCACAGACACACACACACAGACACACACGCACACACACACACGCACACACACACGCACACGTATACAGACACACACACACACACACACGCACACACACACACACGCACACGCACACACACACACACACGCACGCACACACACACGCACGCACGCACGCACATACACACACATACATGCAGGTGCCTCCCAACCTGTTGGTGACGCGCGCTGTTGATGCCGTCGAGGCCAATGGAAGTGTACGGCGTAGCATCGATGGGATCAAACTGGCCCGTGATGAAGCGGATGTAGAGCACCCGCCGCACGGCGTTGTTCACCGTGTTGATTGTTGTGCGGTTCTGCTGCACAGCCTGCTCCAAATAGCCGTTTGTGGTGAAGTATGTCTCCCCGAGCTCCATGTCCGCGCCGCCGTTCAGCGTCTTTGCGACGGCGTCGACGGGGTCGCGGGCGTACTTGTTGGCGTTGACCATGTTTGCAATGGCACCGCAGTCTGTTCCAATCGTCACCATGTCACGTTTCCACTGCCCGCGCACGATGTTATTGAGCAGCAAGTTGTTCGCACACGACGGCACGCCGTTGATGCTGGCGTACGAGCACATGGCAGCGAGTGCGCCGCCATCCACGAACCCACGCTTGTACTGTGCACAAGACGCGTGGCAGAGAGTGGCATGAGATGGGGAGGTGGGATGGCGCATGCATGGCGTGAATGAACAAGCAGGAGTTTCGCACGGATGCACACACACACACACACACACACACACACACACACACACACACACACACACACACACACACACACACACACACACACACACACACACACACACACACACACACACACACACACCGCCGAGACTGCGCGGTGGAATTCAGCTTGGGTGCCGCAGAAGCATTGGTAGCCGTACTCAACGGCGCTGAGCGAAAAGTTGAAGGTGTAGCAGAGCGTGGCACACGCCTCACGCGTCATGGACGTCTGCGCCATGTTGCCAGCAAACGCAAACGTTCGATTGTCAGCACTGTCCCTGAAGCATCCTGTGACGATGTGGGGTGGGGGGGGGAAGAGGTGTTGGTAGGTGAGAGCAGCGATGGGACGAGGGGATGCGCACGCAACTCGTTTCACACACACACACACACACACTCACACCTTGATCTTGGAGGTTGGTGCATTGGACTTGAGCTTGGACGACGCTCACAGCCACTGCCACCAACCACAGCAGCGCTGTCACTGCTGTTACACGCATTCTTGTCTTCTTCCACAAAACACAAACACAAACAGAATTGTGCCGAGTCAGCACTTTCTGCTTTGTTGTTGAAAGGGGTTCACTGCTGTGTGATGGAAGGCAGACGCACAGACACGCACAGGCACGCACAAGCATGCACATGCACGCACACGCAGGGCGAACGGCTTGACAAGGAGCAGTGCTCTGCGTGGAGGAACGAAAGGGAAGGGGGGTACCAACTGCTGTGCTGCTTGCGACCGGGACAAAAGCACGACAAGTGCACGGCAAGCCAGCCAGCAGGCAGTGAACAACCACAAACAAGTCTCCTTCTTGGCCCGTTTGCATACATGTGACACCAGCCACAAACACTGTCAGTCAGCCCACCGTCTGGCAACAGCATCCAAGATGCACTCAGCAAGGGCAGTGGCAACTTGCGATTGGGGATTGGTGGCGTCGTCGCCAGCAACGGCCTCATCTACGGCATCCCTCCCTGTGATGCAACTCCCACCACCCCTGTGCTCATCATCAGCCCATCAACAACAGCAACAGCAGTGACAGCAGCAGTGACAGCGGCAGTGGATGACACTACCATCATCAACAGTCTGCAAGCCGGTTGAGCCATGTGGGCACTGCAGGCGGTGTGCGTGCTGGCTCACAACAACCCTCCTCTATGGGTGTGACCACTGATCGCAGCACGAGCACAACAGACACCACGCTTGGTGAGCTGCTACACGGCGGATGCAAGTGGAACAGCGGCGTGGCTGTGGACAATGGCCTTTTCCTGCCACGGCATTCCATGCAACTCGCCATCCATCCTCAGTCGATGCAGCTGCAAGTGCGGTGGACTCAACTACCCTGTCCGTTCCAGAAGTGGTATGGTGTTGTGTGTTGGCCGGCAACGGCTTGCTGTGTGGCACGCCCTGGCTCGTCCATCACCTCCTCCTCGTCAATCCACGGTGCTGACACAGGTTGGTGTGTGTATGTGTGTGTGTGCATGTGTTGGAACAGAAGTGCATAGGGGGTTGGCACGCACCATGTGCGACTGCTGATGCTTACACGCTTCACCAATCCTGTGTGTTCCATCTCATCACACCACCTCAGTGAATTCCACCACCGTGACGGCCTCGATGTGCCCATGCCACTCTTCTCCATGGTGACATTCATTCATTCACATCGGAGCAGTGACGCGTCCCGCCCGCACAAACAGGAAATACCTCGTCACCTTCAGGTCTGTGCATGCATGCGTGTGTGTTGTGACGTGGTGCGATGTGGGGTTCGATATTCACTGCTGCTGCTGCTGCTGGGTTTTGAGGGGTTGGTGTCGCTCATTGCACCACCCCTCGCCCTTCTTGTAGCCGCTGCAACCTCACTCCAAACCTGTTGTGGTGCCGCTGCTTGACATGTGTCTTCTTTCCCTGTTGTGCAGCAGCACCACCAAGTCTGCTCGTTCTTGATGCCATGCGCAACCACCTCCTCAAGCTGCACAACGGCAGGTGTGTCGTGCTGCGCGTGCGAGTGTTGTGTGTTATCGTGTGTTCCGTGTGTGTGTCGTGCGTTGCCTCGGAGTCAGCTGGCGTTGGTGCTGTGTGTGTATCTGTCTGGATCCACCTCTCTCACTCACACATACACATCGCTCGTGTATGCGCAGGGACATTGTGTTGGTGTGCGCGTGCCGGTGGTTTGGCGAGGAGCGAATGGGCCGTGAGGGGGAAGGCTGGATATGACCCCTCGTGCAAGCAGGCAGAGAAAGAGTTCAACAAGTACACGTACACGGATCTGGCGCTGGAGACCAAGTTTGGGCTCATCGTGGAAGGATTTGGCTACCACTCCTTCAGGTGTGTGTGTGTGTATGTGTGTGTGTGTGTGTGTGTGTGTGTGTGTTGCAGACGATGTCAGTCCTGTTTGTGGTCTTACCTACCTTCCATCTCCTGCCACCCCTTTTCATGCCTCATAGATCATGGCTGCGGGCGCCATCCCCGTCATTGTCGTCGATCACTACGTGCTGGTGCGTATGGATGAATGACAATTCGTGTGTGTGTGTGTGTGTGAGTGTGTGTGTGTGTGTGTGTGTGCGTGTGTGTACCCCTCCTGTCGCTCATGGTGCTGCGATGTGATGTTATGGCGTTTGATTTTGCGCGCTTGCAGCCCTACCAGGACCTGCTGGACTGGGAGACGTTCAATATTCGCATTCCCGAGCACCAGGCTCCTCGAGGTGGGACAGATCGGTGATATGGGGCATGTTGAAGTGATGCGTG